AGAAAATTCCTCTTCATATTCCCACCAAAACCTCCCGAAATTATTGTTCCAAATAATGCATTTCTAAAAAAGAAAGTGCATACATAGCTTTGGATCATGGACATTTCTAATGTGCCAATGAGCCATTTACTTCAGCACTTCAGCAGACAATAACCACCACTAGAGACTTAAGATGAAGACGTAGGATCTCACTAGAGGAGATGATACCTTTGCCATTTGGCCCAGGCAGAGGTTGTGCTCAGTTAGCAAAGGTGACAGGATGTGTCCGTCTGGGATGTTTATACTGGGTGTGCTTTTGTCACTACTGTCTGCCCCAGTCCAGCAACACAGTACTCTATGTGTACCTCGGTGCCTTCTCTGCCTTGCCTTTCTTCTCCTGCTGAATACTTTCAGTCAATCACTTTAATACTCACGATAATTATTAAGGCTGGTTGTTACAACAGTAGGCTGGAAGCCGAACTTTTACTTCTACTCCCTAAAGGGAGTGAAGCAACATGATGATAGGAAAGAGGTCCATAGAAAATTCTTTAATTTCTGAACATTCTAACAAATATAGTTTTCCAGTATTTGGACTGTGGTGTCATTCTCTTAAATTAAACTGAAAGGCTGTTGTTGTTGTGACTATCCAAAGACTGTTTTTCCATCTTACATTTTGTTCTATGCTTGTGCTGTTTTCCATTGCCATGCCAAAGTTTCTCCTGTTTATTGTAATTGTTTTAGTGTGTCTGGCTCTCATTGGTTTATATGTTTAGTCTTGTCCTGATTTAATATGAATTAAAATGCCAATGCCACGACCAGTCTGCAAATATGAGTCAGAAGAGAAATTATTTAAATAATACTATGGATAGTACCAGTCTGGTTTGATATCTAGATCATACAGAATAATGCTGTTTTTGTTTTCTATTACTATTGCCTGCTATTGCCAGTGAAGTGTTGATTGTGATTGTGACCACAAATATGTTTTGTTCCTGGTCCTACTAAGCCAAAAGAGTGTGGTTTACTGCATGTATGTACGTGAGGCTGTTTTGATCATATGAAGTTCACTTTAGAAAACCCACATTCTGCCACTGCAGCGCTACAGCACAATGAGAAAAGAATTTCCAATGAGAACAGTGTTTTAAAAGCAAACCATTGGGCCTCTTCCCTTTAGAAGAATTTTAAGACACACTACCCTTTCTTCTGAATTTGATTATTTCTCAAAATTACATCTGAATATCTGTCTTTAACAGAAGGTCCCTGTCCTTTTCTGCCTCAGTCGTTACATAAAATACAGCAAATTTCAAACTGTACGTTTCCATTTCACACAGAGGTTACGCTTCTTTAAATCATCAGTTTACTGTACTGAGTAAAAACATTATGTGCTGATTTTTTTTAGTGGTGAATCTGGCTACCATATGTCCAATGGTAGCTTGAAACTTTTCACTACCTTGTCTCTACAGACCTGGGAATGCTTAACATTTAAAGTCTGACACTACCATTTAAAGTCTGACACTGAGCTTCTAGCTGTCCAGACAGAGGGACAAGGTTGTATTTTAAAGGGTCAACACTGTATTTTACCAGTTTGAGTTACAACACAGCTTTGTGTAGCTCTCCAACAACTCAGCCTCGGGCATATTGATCACCATAACTGGTCTACTCTGGCCTCCAATCGGGAGGCCTGGAGACAGACCATTTATAACGCTGCTGATGCTTTTGAGAAGGCACGCAGGATCACTCTTGAGGAGAAAAGACAACGCAGAAAGAATCGAGCCTTGCAGAATATACCATCTAAGGAGTCTTTCTGCTGTGTCTTTTGCAACCGGACGTGTCTATCTCGTATTGGCCTTTTTAGCCACCAACGCGCTTGCATGAAAAATGGGTAGAGCCCTTCCCAAATCTTCGTTCGCGAAGCCTAGCCATGATGTGTAGCTCTTACAGAGTGTCAATCAGTATCATTATCTTCTAAGAAGACAGGCTTTAGTATTGAGCAGTGAATATGCCCATCAAACACAATGTATCCAAAAATGTATCTGACCTCCTCTGCGTGACTGTCACAAATTCATTCGGGCTTCTCCAGATGAGTGATAGGCATTTAACATGATCACTGCTATCCAAGTCTCTTGCAAACTGAAACAACAGCATAAATAACAGACAAACTCACAACCCCCCAAATGCTCTTTCATTCCAGCTGAAAAGAACCCTAGCTTTAAATCTAGAATATGCAGCCCCCTCTAAATCCCAGATACAAAGACAGTCAAGAGTTATGCTCCTGGCACCAATCCTAATCCTAACCCAACAGTTTTTACCACATTTAATAAAACTTGTTTATAGTTTCCTGTTCCACCTAGGTGCAACCAAGCCTACTGCTTAGTCCTTTCCGGTAATTTTACACAGATTTTTGTAACCCAGGATACATTTAAACTATGTCTACACTGGTACTGTATGGAGATTTTTTTCAGTTTAAACTCTTGCCAGCTAAACTTAAACACACTCTTTTTCTTATTTTGTTAAGTGCTTGTAGTCCTGTGCTAGTAACAGAAAGAACGAAGCTGTCCCTTGAAAATTAGCTTATCACACATGAAAAGCTCTCCACTGCTCCTTAAAGTAGAGGCTAATAATGGTGAATCAGATACATGCTTGTGATAGCATTTGTACAATTTAAGAAATCCTCTCAGCTGATTGTAAAATGAAATGGCTTTTCTTTGACCACTTAATCTCAGTGTAACAGCATCTATCGCTACAGCCCACTCTGTAATCTCTGGTTACAGTGTGACCAGTTAATATGGCTTCAAATGAATGATGCATTCCTATCACATCAAATTTGCAGCCAAAAAAAAAAAAGGGAGTTTTCTTGTTTGTTTGTTTAAGTGTCAAAAAAAGCCCAAAGCTGCAGCTGTCAGAATTTTTTGATTATTTTTTCTTCCACACTTTTGACAGACAGGAAAAGGAACGTCTTGAGGTTAGAGCACCACATTTTACATTCCAGTGCAACGTCACGAGCATCTGATAGCTCATTCACACATAACGTCAAGATCAGTTCCACAGTTCTTACTCTGACTTACAAGACAACTATTCCTCTTGGAAAGCTGCCATCGTGTTCTGCAGATTACATAAAGCATTAAATCTTTCTGACACAGGTTCTATGATTATTTAAGGGATTTAATCATTTCTGCAACACAAGTCTATACCTAAATGGTACTTACTCCTCAGCATATTCTTCTAATCACATATTCTGCACTTTCTTGGCCCACAGGCTTTGGTATAATTGTCTGTGAATAGAGGATACTTTTTTACTGCAGAATTCCTAGCAGGACCAGCTGATGCTGTCCAGATACATAAACTTTTAAAGCCTATTTTAACCAAGTCTGCATATATAGTTTAGAAACAGATGTGTTTAAAATAGTGAAAATCAAAGACTGATTTGCAAGTTTACTGGGACTGACAAGGTCAGTTGGTTCAGGTAAGGATTTGCATCATTGCAAACTCTTGCAATTTTGCTTGAATTCTCCCGATATTTAGTATTCGCTATAAAGCCCAGGCTACAGGAACCAAGACCTTTTATGAGCCTCTGTGCTTTAATTTTCAGAAGACGTTTCCAGACCTTACCTATGTACAAAAAAAAAAAAAAGAAAAAAAAAAGACAATTAGACCCAAGTACTTAATTTGAAAAGCAAAATGCCCAGAAAAGGAATAAAAATAAATTAAGGCATTCCTTTAAAAAACTGATGTAATAATTTAAAAAACAGCTTTGGGGTGCAGAGGTACTAAATTTTTGAGGGCTTCCTATATCCACTTTTTGATCTGTTTGGATATGAACAGCTTGGGAGGCATTCCCTCTTGCCCTCTCCAATCTCATTGCAAAGTGTCACACAAAATGTTGCCTGCAAGTAATCAACTTACAACCTACTGTTTCATGGAGTTAACTTCGGTTTCTTTGTCATATTGTTACTTTCTCGTTTTTCCAGTGGTGACAAGTGCTTTGAACTGAAAATGTGTTACAGTTGACCAGCTTTATTTACTTCCACAAAATCGTGTCAGACTCCTCTGCTGGTAACAAGTCTCAGAGTTCACGGTTTCCCGTACAGGTTACTGTAAAACGCTGCTTTCCTGGTCAGGCCAAGGCCGACCCACTCGGCACAGCTGAGAACACAAACCCGAGTCTCCTCTCTCCAGTCACAGACAGCTGATCAAAGCTCCAGCGCACAAACACGTTCAAACTTCTCCCCGTTCCCACACTCTTCTTTCAAAGCACTATTTGCGGGCTGACATCACCCGGGCCCAGCCGCCCCCCTGCACAGAATCCCAGAATGGGTGAGGCTGGAAGCGACCACAGCGGGTCACCTGGTCCAACCTCCCTGCTCAGGCAGAGTCATCCTAGAGCTCATGGCAAACGATTGTGTCCAGACGTTCTTGAGCCTCTCCCGTGAGGAAGACTCCACACGCTCCCTGTGCAGCCCGTCTCGGTGCGCGGTCCCTCCCCCTCCCCGGCCGCAGCCGCGGTTCCCTCTGCCCGGGGCCGAGCGCTCCGCCCCTGCCATCCTGGCCTGGGGAGAAACGTGACGCCCGTCCGGCTCCAGCCCGGCCGGGAGTCCCCGCTCTGCCCCGAGTACCGCGACGCCCTGCGCTCTGCGACCTCAGGGCTGCAGGAAACCCCCTGGCGGTACTGACCTGACCAGGTCGGTCATGCAGGATCCCACCACCACTACCTGCGCGGCCATGGCGCCGGGCGGCCCCTGGACCCTGACCCGGACCCTGATCCCGACCCGGCCCGGCCCCGCCGCCGCTTCGCCCGTTGCCAGGGGCGACGGGCTGCCCGCGGGGGCCTTCGCCCGGCAGTGCTGCCCTGCCGAGTGCCTGCTGCCACGGCGGCTCCCCCTCCTCCCGTCTCCCCCGCCCGGCTCCGGCCGACTCCGGCCGCGGCCGAGCCGCCAGACAGCCCGCGCAGGCACTTGCGGCAGCCACCACTATCGGGGCCTGCGAAGACCCCTCTGGCCCGGGCGGGGACGGTGGCGGTGGCGCGGCGGGGCGGGGGCGCGCACGGCGGGAGCGGGGGCGCGCACGCCGTTGCCAAGCGGCGAGTTCCGGCCGCCGTAGGTAATGGCGGGGCCGGGGCGAGCGGGACGGGCACGGGGGGAGGGAGCAGCGCTCCTGCCCCTCCTGGGGCAGCAGCGGGCGAGATGGGATCCGGCACCGGGACGAGCGGGCCCAGAGTCGGCGGAGGCCGGTGTAAACAGCGGCGCTGGGGTGGGGCGGGGCGGGCGCAGCGCCGCGGGTGGTGGCCCCGCCGCCTTCGCACGGGGCGGCCCCGGCTGGGGAGGGAGCGGGGCTGAGCCGGGCTGGAGGCAGCCCGGAGAGAAACGGGAACGCAGGAAGTTCCAACTGAATATGAGGAAGAGCTTCTTTACTGTGCCGGTGACCGCGCACCGGGACAGGCTATCCAGAGAGGGTGTGGGGTCTCCCTCTCTGGAATTCAGGAACCATCTGGATGCAGTCCTGTGCAGTGTGCTCTAGGATGACCCTGTCTGAGTCGGGAGGTTGGCCCAGGTTACGCACTGTGGTCCCTTCCAGCCTGACCCACCTTGGATTCTGAGCGTTCTCCCGTCCCAGGGCTGAGGGAGCTCAGGGGTGTACCAGGACCCCGCAGATCCACGTTGTTGGGAGCATTCGGTGCGTGCGTTCGAGCACAGCAGCAGGAGGTGCTGGTGGTGGTGGGTCCCCTCCTTTCCCCACTCGCATCCAAACACCCGTTCCTGCCACCCCCAAAGTGAAAACCACACAACCACGTTCCCGACGGCCGCACCAAGAGGGTCAGACAGGAAAGGTCCCCTCTCGCTCCCAGGCCTCCATCACAGTATTAGCCTTTGCCACCTTAAAGCTTCACTAAATGCCCATAATGCTGTTGCCGGGGGTGGAGGGACAGACTTATCTCTCATCCAGACACTGTCCAGTGCCTGAAACAGTGCCTGGGACCCCGTGGTTACTGTGAGGCATATGTAACATTAGTCTGAAGTTATTAAGCCAGCTGAATCTAAAAGGATTCAACTACTAGTTTTGTTTGCTTCTTTCAAATGCTTTGTTTTGGAAGGGAAACAGTCCAGTGAATTTTGTTTTTGTTAATTCCTTTGAGTTTGTTGGTGTTTGGTTTCCAGTACTGTGGGAAAGTTAAACTAGGAAGAAAAAAAAGTGTATATGACGTCTGAAACTTAGGAAAATGGTACAAATTGTGTTCTAGTTTATAAAGCCCTTTGTTTACAAAATAAATTATGTTTACAAAATAAGTTATGTTTACAAAATAACTGATATGGCTTATTATATAGAAAGCATTGTGATTAAAAAAAAAAGATACAATAAAATCGGCAAAAATGCCTGACAGTAATTTATATCTTGTTTTGACAATATCTGCAAATTTTATTAACAAAAAGATAAGGAATCTCATTCTGCAGTTCATTTCGGAAGGTGCATCTGTTCAACTGTGGCTACCATGTGGATCTCTTATGTCTCACAACTTCTTTCTAATAACACAGTCCCCTTAAAATGAGGTCCTTGTGTATGAGTTTAAGATTTCTAAAAGGATAGCTTGTTTTTCAACATTTTGCATGGTTTAAGTTCTTATCTTCATAAGCCCACCTACCCCCTGCTTGAAATTACTCTTCCCTACAGCAGGGCTGGCAGACTAAAGTATGTGCCCTGTTTTAGCCACTCTTGTGTTTAAACTCATCTTTATTAGCAGTTCAATGTAAGCCATTGGACTTCGCATTGAAATAGGTCAAGTGTGGGCTTGTGTTCTCTCAGTCCCTCTGGGGAAGAATAAAGGTAAGTAGGCAGTAATTTTTGGTAGAAAGGTACCAAACAGGAGGTAATGCATTACATTGCTGTAGGTGTTTGCTAAGCAAAGTTGTTGCTGTTGTCAATTACAGCAAATCATATCGGTGAAGAGAACACATTATATACCAGGGCATGGATACTTAGTCTTCAGCTTCTTTGCTGCCATAAAATGTGGGAGCCAGTGTATTAAAGATAATTACTGTTTTTAGGAAGTCTTACTTTATTAGTCTTTCTGTTTGCCTTAATGTGCCTGGCCTTTGTTTTATTCAGATACATTCCAAATAGCAGGACAAACACTCTTTCTTGAGCATTGCTTTGTATTGCTTCGGTGTGAATGACTTTCATGAGAATAGAATGTGAAACAGAATGTGAAATTAATGTTGCTCCCAGTTACAGAAGACTTTTAGTTTGTAGAAGATCCCATAGTTACTGACTAATACTTGTAAACTGAGTGTGAGAAACAACAGAAAATTGCGGTTATTGCCATGAGTTGTTCACACTCTCTTTATGGAACACTTATTAATACAACAGTCCCTATGCAGCATTTTGTAAGAAAGTGAATGCAGCATGTATTGCTGTTTTTCAATTAAATGCATGTTTTAAAAAATATCTTGTAATGGTCAGAGTTTAAGTATGAGCTCTTTTGTCCCACTGATGTGGCATGTTTATGTTACCTTCAATCATTTACAACCTTTTTGTCCAAAACTGCCAATTCAGTTAATTTTCAGATGAAACTGTGCCTAAGAATATGATAAAATATGTTAACATTTTAATAGTTTGGTTAGCCTTCTTTTCTCCCGCTTGTCTTACCACAGTCTGTTGTTGTCCACGTACCCTAGTCTTTTTGTGGTGCCATGAGTTAAAACGTGTGCATGCTCAGTTTCTGCATTTCACTTAAAAAGCAACAGGTTCTTAAAGGGTGCTAACTTGGTGGCCTGTCTGATTTATCATAAGGTCACGCAAGTGCAGTATTTCTGAAAAAAACTGTGCTTAAACTGTGTCTGCATCAGCTTCCTGATCTGTTATGTGAAAGAAGATGAAGGTCAAAGACTATGGCGATACCACGGAAGGAGAAGCAGTGTTAGCCTTTAAAAGGCATCATGAAGTCCTAATAAAGTCCAGTGTAAAAGTAACACTGGTTATGGGTACGCTCATCTCATCTCTCATCTCATGGCTAGGCTTCGCGAACGAAGATTTGGGAAGGGCTCTACCCACGTTTGTTGCAAGCGCATTGGTGGCTAAAAAGGCCAATACGAGAAAGGCATGTCGGGTTGCAAAAGGCACAGCAGAAATACTCCTTAGATGGTATATTCTGCAAGGCACGATTCTTTCTGTGTTGTCTTTTCTCCTCAAGGGTGATCCTGCGTGTGTTCTCAAAAGCATCGGCAGCGTTATAGATGGTGTGTCTCCAGGCCTCCCGATTGGAGGCCAGAGTAGACCAGTGATGATGATCAATATGGCCAGGGCTGAGATGTTGTTTCAGGGAGTCCTTGTATCTTTTCTTCGGGGCTCCTCTCTTGCGGCAGCCAGTGGCAAGTTCACCGTAAAGCAGGATCTTAGGGAGGCAGTGGTCCTTCATCCTGGAGACGTGCCCTGCCCAACGCAGCTGTCTTCTCAGCAACATGGCCTCAATACTTGTGACTGCTGCTTGTTCAAGAACAGATGTATTGGTCACATAATCTGACCAGTGGATGTTTAGGATTGTACGAAGGCAGCATTGATGGAAGCGTTCTAGGAGACGCAGGTGGTGGCGGTAGATGACCCATGATTCAGATTCGTATAAGAGAGTAGACAGCACTATGGCTCTGTAAACACTGATCTTTGTACTTTTCTTCAGGAGTTTATTTCGCCAAACTCTTTTATGAAGCTTTCTGAAAGTACTATATGGGTACACTAGTGCTATTAGAAATTGCACGTGAGAATACGGAAAAATAATCAAACCCTTGGGCCCATTGCAATTATTGTAAGTCCCGTTGATTTCAGTGGAAGCAGAGGAAATGTGGCTTGTCAATTACAGACCTAATGGAAATGCCTACAAGGTGGTCTAAGTTGTAAACTGTCAGAGTGGCCCTCAGTTTTTTTCTCTTTCTCAGAGGGATAGGACCTTAATTACAGGAACCTAGGACATAATTCTGTTTTTATGTCTATATGGAATAAACGGGCTTCACTGAATACTGCAGAGGTAGGAGGAAAAAAACCTACCTGTTCTTATTTTTAGTTTATAAACCTGTGCACACTTAGTAGTTACTTGTAGTCCTTTGTGTGCTTGGCTTTTCTTTTGGTGTTTGCAGAGTACGTGTGAATTTACATGAAATAAGTAGGCTGTTTTTGGATTTTATTTTTTTCCTTTGCCATCCCTTTGCAGCTCAAGAGAAAAGGAAGGAGTAACATACTAAAATGTCACCTGAAGTTGCCTTGAACAGAATTTCTCCGGCGCTCTCGCCCTTCATTTCCAGTGTGGTCAGAAATGGAAAAGTAGGACTGGATGCTACTAATTGTTTACGGATTACAGACTTGAAATCTGGGTGAGTTCCTTGTCCAAGAAGAATACCCAGCCCCTCACAGTTGAGATGTCTTTTCAGAACTGGATTTTATTAGGTTCATGTGCATTTGAGCTCTTTGAATATAGCTGGAGCTGACATTCCAGCTACATTACTTTTTGTACTTTTTTAGTTCGGGAAACTTAATTTGTCATATTGTTGGCAATAATAATCTTGTTAAAACACTTTCATCGCTGCCACTTGATAGTGCTGGTTTTCAGCAGGGAGATAGTTATAAACATTTTTTCCTGTTGTTTACCACTTTCTTACTCGATCTTCTCTGTAATTTAAAAATTGAAGATAAATTTGTGTGACCTTACCTGTAGGCATGAATATGCCAAAACAGAAAAAAAACCCCCGCCCTTTCTTTTATCTGACCTCCCTCAAGTTCAGAATATCAAGTAGCTATAGGGCCAAGTGTTTGAAATAGGCCAAACTCCTTCTTTTATTTTTAATTCTAGAAGGGCTCAGATTAGCTTTCAAGTAGTGATAAAATTTTGGGATTCAAAAAAGATGAAGAGACTTCTGTGTTACACACAGAGGTGTGTAACCTCTGTGAATAGTACACTGGGTAAAGAAAGTAGACTTTACTTTAGGCATTGTGCAAAGAGGGGAGACTCCCAAGGTGGCTGATAAAAGAGTACTTGAGATAAGACATGTCAGAAATTGCTTTATTCTTTTAGAGTTGAGCATCTAACAGCACCCATTGATTCAGGTATTTATTTTGATACTGGAGCTCAGAGCCTGAAATTACTTTTGCTTAAGGTGTCCAAGTCGTCTGTTTTGTACAAACTATTGCTTTGTGTACCATTTCAAATGATAGCTAATGCAATAATTGATCTTGAGATCTTGAGAACCACCACAAACTACTCTTGTTAAAAATTTAGTTCTGCTGAAAACAGTTTAATATGCTCCTATACACTGTTTTATTATGGTTTCATGGAGAGCTTGGGAGGTGCTTTTCTGGTGGTTATAATGCCTTTTCAAGAAGGAGGTTTGAATTCTGGGGTTAGTTTGAAAGCAACCATTCCCTCCCTGTAAGGTGCTGTGACAGAGTACAGATTTACTTGGAGGTCTCAGAAGCCATGACTTCGTAATTAGCGTTGACTGGCTTGACATTTAGGCTTGCAAATTATGTAAGATGGGCTGAGCAGTTCTGCATCTGCTGCTGTCATTTCATGCTGGACCTTGTTACTCTTGAGCTAGTCTTCTAGGAAGGCTTAGATGGGACCTGTTGAAATCTTGAGAGAGAGGAATACAAAGAAAGTAGAGAGAAAACACAGCTGTAGTTGGTGGTAAAAGTATCAGTTTGTTGGGAGGTAGGTAAGAGTTTTGATCTCTGCCCACTGAATGCTTATGCTGCCTGTCCGACTTTAAATGAATAGATTGAAATAATAAAAAGCAGTATTTTCTAGTTGACTCTTTTCAACGGTACTTTTAAAAGGTTTCTAACATTTTTGGCCAATGATCTTATCAAGAAATCTTACTTTTGTTATATCCTGAATGTTTTCCAAGACTTTATTCTTTAAAAACTAAAAACTGCCACCAGCTGCATCTGTCACCCAAACCCAGTGATTCAAATTGTATTGTCACTGTGTTGAATGTGGAGTCTACGCACAAGTAAAGCACCTGACAGAGATTGTCTCATACCTTGTTTAAAGACATAGGCTCAGCTGTATGCATGTGTTAGCAATGTTGTTTTTTCTGGTTCTGGAACATAGAAATGAAACTCATTTTTGTGTTGGGGCTTTGTTTGGCTTGATATTATTAGGAGATGGAGTTGGGATAATCAAGATTCTGCATTTAGTTGAGAATTATTTTTTAAGGTTTTTTTTTGGTACAGCTAAGTTACTTAAAAACATTATTTTAGACAGGATTAATTAGCGATTGCTTGAAATTTCTTTGAAATGTAAATTTCATGCATGTGTGTTTTTAGGAAAGATTTTTGTTGTTTATTACAAATAATTCATTGTTAGTTTATTTATATGAGAAAATTTTGAATTTATGCGTCAGGGTGGAAATACGAAGTTCTTGTGATTTAGTGCCTTATGATGTCACTGAACAGGTAAATAGTGTAAAATTACTTAACATAAGATGGATGCATCACAGTATTAGAGGGAAATCCTTTCCATAATTGAAGATGTAGTTCAGGGCTCTTTAACCTTTAATATAGGAGCCTTTGGTTCTCCATAGACTGTTTCTGAGAGTCCCATGTCAGTCGATAAATAGCAAAGTCCCCAGCCCACTGTGTTGCTAGAAGGTTTAAATTTGTTTTGCACCTCTAAAGGAAAACTTCACTGGTCTCTGAGGGTTCAAAAATGGCTTGCAGATCATGGGTCTACTCTCCTCCCCTGCCATTGTATCCCAAGGATATCCAAACCCCTGTGTACTTTCACTTTCTTTACGCTTTTTTAAAAGGAAAAAATGACAATACGGATGAAATAATCAGCAGAGGTAAATGTAGGTACCTGATACCCACATGAAGAAACAGAAGTATGAGACCATCATGGCTAGGCTTCACGAACGAAGATTTGGGAAGGGCTCTACCCACATTTGATACAAGCACACTGGTGGATAAAAAGGCCAATACGAGATAGACAAGTCCGGTTGCAAAAGGCACAGCAGAAAGACTCCTTAGGTGATATTGGCAAGACACGATTCTTTCTGTGTTGTCTTTTCTCCTCGAGAGTGATCCTGCGTGCGTTCTCAAAAGCATCAGCAGCGTTATAGATGGTGTGTCTCCAGGCCTCCCGATTGGAGGCCAGAGTAGACCAGTGATGATGATCAATATGGCCAGGGCTGAGATTTTGTTTCAGGGAGTCCTTGTATCTTTTCTTCGGGGCTCCTCTCTTGCGGCAGCCAGTGGCAAGTTCACCATAAAGCAGGATCTTGGGGAGGCGGTGGTCCTTCATCCTGGAGACGTGTCCTGCCCAGCACAGCTGTGTTCTCAGTAACATGGCCTCAATACACCTGTTCTAGAACAGATGTATTGGTCACATAATCTGACCAATGGATGTTTAGGATTGTACGAAGACAGTGTTGATGGAAGCATAAGACCATAGAAGTTGGACATAAACATAGATGTTGAATAGGAGGAAAATGAAGATATCTGTTGTTAGAGAAATGGGGATGAGGTACAGAACATTAATTGCAAAATTCCCTTTAGTTTCAGTGGGTTGAAATCAGGCTTTCAACTTAAAAAGCAGAACAGGCAGCTGAGGAAGAGGTGCTAGGTTAAATGTTTGAAGTCAAATAAAAGGCAATTCTTGATCTCAAATGAATATGACCATTTTAGAAGTACTACCTGTTCAGGAACTTTGCTTTTGCATAGTGATTGTACATTTACTGACACATGAGTTGTACACACTCTAGTTTATACTGTAAAGACCCTGACCTAGACTGAGTTTATTACAGAATGTGCAGGTATTTTATGCTTTAACTGATGTGTTGTGTGGAAGATTTTTCAGAATAAATAAATACAATCTTACTGTAACCTTTAAAATATTAAAATACTTAAGATAAATGTCTCAATAGCTATTAACTTTGAAAACAGAAGTATCTGTAAGCTTAAGGGCCTGCCAGCTGCATGGCTACTCCAATGTCATGTACCACAGTATTACTCTTATAGAGAACTATGAGGTACTGTACCCTGACAATCCAGTGCTTCACAGTGTATAATGAAACAAAATGTCCAGACTGATGATCCATCTATTCTCATTTCTCAGGTTTTAGAAACTGAAGCCATGGTTAACAGGGATTAATGGTAACATACTGAATACAGTAGTATCTCTAAGGCCTTGCCCATTCAGAGCCTTGGTTTTGACATTCTCAAAAGTGGAAAGAATTTCCTTTTTATTCCACCAGTACAAGATCAAGCTCCAGATTTTAGCCTATCATGTCAGTTGATTTTGATTTGCAAATGGCAAACATATTAAGTCTATAATTATTTCAAAAGTCAAATCATATGTCAGATGGTTTTAGTAAGGAACTTGTTTTATACTTATTCTGACTTATTGCTGAGACCGACAACTTAGTTTTGTTGTGTTTTATAAACTGTATTAAAGAGCTGATGTTAGATTAAGAGTATGAAGTAGATGATATGTTAATTTGCTTTGCTTGCAAGTGTGGGAGGGAAATATGTCATAGTAAGGAAATCCTATTGTTTTGCAGTCTTTAAGTATGTAAATGTTTTATAATAATATGTTACAGTTCCATAATGTCTGTGTGTTTTACAAACTTATTAGACAGTACCAGTCTCATCAGACACTTACATACATTTACATCTATGAGTAGGACATTCAGGACCAAGTCCTATTTATGGGATTTATATGGCCACTGCTGATGCAGAGTGAGTAAAGAAATGTGGGTACCCCTGAACTGAGTTCAGCAATACGACATGGGAAGGAAGAGGTAAACTCTTCAACAGAAATAGTAATAAAAAGTTAGGTGGCCAAGTCTTCTTGTAAAAAGGGCTCCACAGTGAACAAAAGTAGAACTGGAGTGTTAAGTTGCATCTGAAATATAGCACCTGCAGCAGCATTGATTCCCGTGATAAGAAAACCCTGGCAGGCATCTCTGTTGCATTAATAAAAGACCTTCTTTGAGATGACAGAGTGGATCAAAGCATTTTGAACTCTTGAATAGGATATTACTTTGTTCTAGACCCAAAGAAAATACTGCTGCCAATTGAGTCAATGCCGTATATCGTATCATCCAGTTAATCTCCACTGGTGTCTCTTTGAAATAATGACCCATCTTAATTAGATATTAAAATCTACTCATAACCAACTGAACTGTGGCTGAGGCATTTCTCTTAGCATTTACACATATAATCATGGGAAAGATGTTGAATAGGGAAAAGTGATTATTATGTAGATTTAGAAATAGAGGACATTTTCCTATGTGAAGGGTGTTTAATTGTTGTATAATGTAGAATCCAGTTATTTAAGAGACTGCTGCTTTTCCTACGGTGCGTTACAAGAGTG